AAAAAAGATATACATTATAACTTATTAAAAATGTTACTTAATATCCATACAAATATATGATGCAGTGTTTGAATTAAAATAAACATTTGTTTGTTTTGGCTAATTTCTAATATAGCTGGACCTTTTTAGATTTTTTTAAATCATATAAGGTAACTTAGGTTAGCTAGAGTAACATTCTTTTTAGAAATAAATATTTATTTTATTAAAAAAAGTTGAATTCTAATAAATATCCCAATATAAATAAACCGTTTTCGATCAAATATCCAGTTTGCTGTAATCTGTAGTGTGAATATATGCAGTCGCGCGTCACATTAATTGGTGCAATTCTAAAAGTCAGAATCTCATCACAGCGGTCAACTGAACATTTCCTAAAACGATGGATATAAAGACCAAAACCAAAAAAAATAAAAACAGTATTTAGTATTTTAGAATTAATTTTATTCAAAACATTATCAGCGTGAGTCCTGTATTTACAAATTATAATAATTGTCGCAATGATAAGAATAAGGTGCGCGGACGCAGTGCCACATTGTATGCAAACGGCTCTGTCATAGCTACCGTCAGAAACGAAAAGGAATTAAATATTACTTAATTGCACTAATTACAAAATATGATTTTTTACTGAAATACTGAGAAGAATTGCAAGGGTACAACATCTTGTTTACAAGCTTTCATATAATTTGTAAACATTACCACCACTAAGCTATTCTAAAATCTGCAATATGGTAACACTTCAGTAATCTGCCGCACAAGCAAAGAGCGTGCACATTTAAATTATAAAATGTTTGCATCATATGTAAATTTTGCAAAATTAACCCAATTTTCAATATTTCTGAACGAATATTAAGACAGCAGATAAATAATTATGTAATAACATTGTTGTTACATTCAATTAAAATAAGGTTATAATTTTTATAGTAGGTAAATGCATTTACAAAATTCAAAACAATGTATTTTATTTATTTATTAGTACATGAAATAAAATATGACATTTTACTGCTCGGAACGACAAAACTTATTAGATAATCGTTCGGAAATATTGTTATATGGTTTTTGAAATTAGAACTATGCAGACGTCATGTAGATGTAATATTAACATATGCGACTCATACCATTGCAAACGATGTACATGTTAATTAAGAATTTCAAGATATAAAAATTTGTCAACATCAACTATAGTTTGATAGATACGTATGGAACATAAATATCTGTCAAACTAGAATGGGAAACAACACAGTACGGCCTATTGGTTGATTTAATAGACTGGTTCTGCGGACAGGTTTGGTTCTGAAGGTACCAAAACTTTGTGTGGTTCAAAGATGTTCACAAAATGATATGTTATTTATTTTTATTAAGTAAATATACACTAATATCCTTATTAATAAAAAATATAAGACAATAGTAGACTTTTGCCTTATAAACCAATATTAGCTTAATGAAAAATATCGTCTTTTTATTTAAAGATTGTAATTATACTAAATGTAATTTCAAACAGATATAACATAAAAGTAAAGAGGTTTATCAAAAATTTAAGTTCATGCAAATAGTACAGTTAGAAATTGTTTCCATAGCAGTTATTAAATGAAATATTTAAAAATCTCATGTTATAAAAATAATTTATTTAAATAAGCATTATTACTACAATATAAATTAATTATATAATAATTTATTGTTAGAAATACCGGCAAATAACTTGAGCACTATTATATTACCATGTGATTGCGCAGAAACTTATTGTCACCTAGCTACCTGACCCGGCTTCACACGGGTGTACATGTATTATACATATAAAAATTCCTCTTGAATACTATATATTGCTGAAAACTTCATTAAAATCGGTTACGTAGTTAAAAAGATCTGAGCGAACAGGCGGAAGTCACTTCATTTTATACTACGTAAGAATGGTTTGGATCAAATTATTTGCCGATAACTGTAGCAGACCTAATACCACTAATTGTAATAGGAAATCACTTAGATCACGTTTGCACTGATTATAATGAAAGCGGAATGTTGGTATCGTATAATAATAAGTCCATAATGACTAAATCTGTTCATAAACAAGTCCATAAATGGATTATTGGTTTTGTTTTGATAGACTTTATCACTGTAGACACAATTTTACTCATTTTTTTGCAACATTAAGGTAAATACAATTGTAATTATATATATTTAATTGAATGTAAGCTTTTAGCAGCGAAAATCTCACTCATACTTTTTATATTATATTATGTATCAAAATACTTCTTAAGCACTAAATAAATAAATAATACTAATGTACATGGACCGCGGAACGATTTACAAGACAATTGTATTAATTATATAAAATTTCAAAAATTATATGAATAAAATGAATGCAAAAGACAATTGTGGACCATCCGATATTTTTAATATTTTATTAATTTTAAAAAAGCATAAGCAATTATGTCATAAAATTTAAGTGTGTACAGAATTGTTTTTGTGTGATGAAAACATAATTTTACTACGGGAAATAAAAAATAAAAAAAGAAGAGCTACTTGAGGACAAAGAAAAACTGGAGGTTATTTTTATGAATACAAAATCAATATTTACTTTCAGTTAGGTATTTACAGATCAATAGGATGAGAGTTATATATCGGTGATCCAAATCAACCTACTGTATTACATTATTACATCTACAAATGTTTATGCAAAATGTACCGCGTCCGTGCTATATACAAAAAACAGCAGTTAACACCCTTCCACAGATAATACAATGACCACGATGCATCATGTGAGTGACAGCTCATTTTTTGCGTATGGCGTATTAAGAGATACACTGTGGCAAATATCCGATTACTATGGGTACTTACGATCTGTATATTTATATATATACATGTCAATATTACCCTCCCATATATTTTGAATAATCTCTGTACAACGATTTCCTATATCAACACGTTCTGAAGAAATCAAAATAAAAATATAAACATAATTTTTAGAAAATTAATAAGCACCTAACAGTACAAATATTTTTATCAAATTACGGGTTCAATAAATTGATACACATATTTATTCTTTTAGTAATTAAAATTATGACAAATACGTCAGAAAAAGTTAAGCGAATCACATGTATAAATTCTATGAAGAAAAAACGTTCGTTTAATACGGTTATTAGAGGTACGGAACCCCAAAAACTAATGCGTGTAGTCTAAGCTTAAACTTTATGTAATCTACAGATGGCGTTACATGGAGCTTCAGTCTTAGACGTGACCAGACCTCCTTGCTTAAACCAAAACAAGCATAACTTCGAAGTCTTTAGCGCTACGCGAGACACGTGCTTTTGTGTATAATATGCTATAAGAAACGACACGACATAGGCACTTATGGTACCTCGGTGATCTGAGCTCAAACAGCACAAGACGGGGACGGGACAGTTGCCTAAATCAGTGTTTTTTACAATACACCAAAGGTAGTGTGCAAATATAAGTATGGTAGTCTCATTTGCGAACCATTTAATAATAATCTATAACTCGTAATCACTATTTTCGTTGAAATGTATGCCATACTGAGGTTCAGTAGTTAAAAGAGTTATGATGTATAAAAAAAATATTGTTGATACACTAACAATATTTTTTTCATCCATCTTTGCACCCACTCATCTTGTGTTTGAGTTCTGAAGAGAACGGTTAGTAGAAATTGACCAAATTAGACTCTAAATCTTTGAAATAAGAGTTAAATTGTAAATCTTGCATTCATTAACAACTTGTACAATTAATATTCTTATGCCATTGAAATAAGGTTCAGTTTGGTCATATTGCTACTAATCAAAAACGTTGCATGTAGAGTTTACACATTGGAATGTTGGATTATGAATTTAAAGTAACGAAAAGCAGACAATAATTTGTTAACAACTAAAAATCAAATTTTGATAAAATGGACTTTATTGCTTACTCTTATAGTCTCATTTCGGTTGTAGTACGAGACGAGCCGTATATTAGTAATTAATTATGTTCATTATACAAATGAATTATTTATACTTACTAAAATATTTATTATCAACATTTAAAACAAATTCTTGCTCAACTTTGTCCCCTCAGGGCAAACTGACAAATAGTACAGAAATATAATACTGAAAGAGATAAAATATTTATCCTCAACTTAATTAAAAAAAAATATATATATACACCATACATATAAATGAAACTTCGTTCATAATCGCACATTCCAATAGAAAAGCCTGGTGACTTAAAGTACTTACATACTTCTCTCATTATTGCACATGTATTCGTTTTTTTTTATTAAAAATTAATTACCTTTATGAAAATAAAACAGACATAGAAGATATGAAGAAATCAGCTTACAATAGATACTACAGAAAATACATTAACTCTAATATCACCGTAACACACACAAAAGCACATTAGCACATGATAATCAGATCAGTTACTGCACTTTGTCGTCCTGAATTCAATAATATACTTCTTTTTTACCTTGTACTTTATACATAGACATAAATAAATATTTTTATTTTTCGCACATTTGCCGCCATATTTACATGTTTAATCATCTATCCGAATTTAGGCAAAGTAACTCAATGTGTACGTATAGTTTTCATTTGAACATAATTTATATTGGATCATAATTATATAGCTTGGGATATTATTACATATGTATGAATTGAATCTGAATCATTAGAATTTTACATAATAACTTGAATCTATTTGTCATTTTATGATACCGTATCACTTAACCACAATCTATATACTATAAATTTCTATACATAAGTACATTCTAAACATTAGCCGATAGTAACAGCCTTGACGCTTCTGAGTACAAACGTAGATGAAAATAGACGCTGCAAATATCTCAATTCTTTCTTATTTACTGTGATGTTTAATAGCCATCTGTAATGCTAGTTAAATATTTCATATAGGAACACCGAGTTGTAATTCTGACGGTGCGGGAGTATTTTTTAAACTCTTTTACGCTTAATAAAGCAAAAAGGTGGCATAAGAGATATATTTGTCTGTTTAGGTCCATGTCTGTGCCCTTTAACCATTACACTTCTGTTTTAGGACGACAACGTGCGTTGTACCTGGCATAGACTGACATCCATACTGACACCGCGTTTAAAGGTTCATCTTGACAGCTGTCAAAATTTACTGACGTCTCTCTCTTTCTCATCATAGGTATATAATATTGTCCAGCTGTGAAAGCGGCCTTATAAAGCGGCTGCACTATATTATCGATGGGTGGTATGGTTAACAAGCACATCCGCCGTCTGGTTCCTTGTTGTCACCTGGCGCCTGTCGCAGGATCACCTCGTGCACTGTACACATATAGTATTAAGGAAAAAACGAAAAAAACTACAGAAATTATAGGACTAAGCTAAATAAAGTGTAAGACTGTTGTATAGTAACTATGAAGCGCTATAAAGCCACGTAAGGTATGTATAAAGTACGAATTACATCAAATATAGCGTAAACTGAGAACAATTCGAAAAAATACGTCAATTGGAAAAAGCGTATGCTTATCTTCGACCAAATTTTAGAATTTGAACTTTATATTGTTGGTAATATAATTTAATTTTGTGTATACAATTGACAAATGTGATAAACGCTCTACCACTCATACCACGATATATAGATTGATGTAAATCGTACATAAAGCGTTATAAATAAGTGTGCGCTACATGACATAAACAGAAATTAAGAAGCAATATATTACGTGCCATTGCGTACAATACAAATATAATAATTAGTTAAATAAACGTAAATAACTTAATAATATATATACAAATTATAATTTATTAATAAAATAGTTATATGCCCACATACCAGTATGGATCTGTTAGTTGGAAGAGGAGCTGCTAGGATGAATACAAAGTAAACACCGATCCAACGAAGAAATACCGATTGCACTATGAAAACACCAGGTGTGAAACATCACGCGGACAAAAACGGTTTTAACAGTTAATTAAGCATAATATAAATTGTCTGATGACTAAACTGGACCAAGAGGTGATTCCTGTGAGTTTGTAATGAGTGATTACAGCGTATTTGTAACTATTTTATGAACCCATTTCAAAATTATGAATGACTACATTTGTTTAATGTGTATCAAATGAGCCCGAATTTATTTCATAATACCGTTTGCAAATAATAGTACTTGCGTAACATGTTGAAATTGTTTTAAAAGTGCCACGACCGTTCGTTTTTGGAAATACAATTTCGAATTACTTATTATGTAAAATATTTATAAATTCTCATAACTGGATCACATTAAAATTATTTCTGTATTTCAAAGAGTTTCCTCCGTTGGACAGAAATACATATTATGTCTAAATCTTCATTACTATCGACAGAAACAATATCATCCATAGTATAAAATAAAGTCGCTGTCGCTGTCTGTCCGTCCCTATATTATCTTTAAATCTACGCAACGGATTTTGAAGCGGTTTTTTTAATATATAGACTGATTCAAGAGGAAGGTTTATATATATAATACATGTACACCCGTGCGAATCCGGGGCGAGTAGCTAGTAAAATGTAATTTAAAGGACAAGTTTTTTCAGGACATTGCTTATATCTAGAGCGAGACTGACAGCAAGCCAATAATTGTATATTATATAATGTTGTCTTTCTAATTTCGTATTTGATTTATATATTGTAAACTATATTAATATTATCATAAGAAAACACTGTATGTTTGCATGTAATGAATGTAATAAATAAAAATACTAGACCTACACACCTACAGATATAAAACTATATTTGGCGAGTAACGTAAGCTATATTCCACGCGGCCAGTGCCGCGGAATATAGCTAGTCATACAATAATAGTACAGGGGACGGTATATGTCTACTGTACAATTATTTTTCCACACAAATTAGTAAGGTTAAATGTACTTACAACATATTAGACGTTAATACCACCACCATACACAAATAGGATCCACACGAGTCACCATTGGCAGACATATATGGAATTAGCTACTATGTTAAATGTATCTAATAGTATATATTGTTATATATTTAACAATGTATATATTTATTGTTACATATATTTCTTTCAATACTACAAGAGCTGTTATATCGCGACACTGTTCTGGGTCCTTCAGGCCTCAGTGAGTAAAATCATATAATTATAACGATACCATAGACAGGAAAATTTTAATAGTTGTTTTTCCAATTATATGGACTATGAATCTCAATCTGTGAAGAATAAAACTGTTTCTCTATCTCCCTCTATCCCCTATTTTCTCTATTTCAATAATAATAATTTATATTGACACCAATTTTAAATATTTAGTCATTCATAAACTTACATTATATCTCCGCAGGAAATGGATATAAGCTGTTAAGTAAAATAATTCGATGAGCCTGAGTAACATGGTAACAGTTGCTTAATCTTTGGCTGTTTACATCAATATTTTGGTAGACACTAATTGACAACGAGAACTAGACAATGAAATTACTCTTTGGTTTCGCTAACAATGAAATTATATTATTTTTCTGTTAAATATTCAAGTGGATATCAATAATAAATGACATAGTAGCTAATTTCACATACGAAATGACTGCAGTCTTCTGTCTCTGCATTTTGACATCACAATTTAAAAACCAAATATAAAACTAGCGTTATTGCGTTTAGCGCTATAAATAAATTACGTAGATAATAGTGTTATAATGTGCTTGTATGGAGCGTGATGTGTAAAGAACTATCTTATAAAGTCATACGGACAAATATTGTTCACACACAACCAAAGAAGAAAATAATTTTCTACGTAAGTATTTAACTGTGAACTTACATTTACATTCACACAAAATGTCAATTTCAATATGGGAATTTCGCGGCTGGCGTCTAAAATTTATAAAAATTTAGGGTGAAATAATAAGTAGAGCCATTGGCCATTTTGTGCTGCTGCGGCGCGCACATGATTTAAATTAATTAAGTTATTAACTTAGGTTTCTTTTGTTCTTGTTCCTTTCCATTTTGATTTGTTTTGCAATTAAACGGATCTATCTGACGGATTTTAAATTCCTTGCATTATTATTTAAAAATGAAACAACAGTGTCATATATCTGGTCATGTTCCAAATTCGAATACCATATTGAGACAGGTAGTACTGAAAAAAAAATACAAATTTCGCGCCCAAAAAAAGTTAAATGTGCGTGTGTTGTTATGAAAATGGTAATACTGAAACTTTGTGTATTATTCTTAACAATATGTTTTGGTAGAGACAGGACAAAAGTGAGGTATAATATTGTTAAATATATTTTGTAATAAGAATTTTGTAACGTTCCTAAAAGCACATAACTTTTATTAAATATTTGAAACAGAATTTTATTTAACACAATATCATAACTATATGATACTACATTAAACTTCTTTGTCCTTTTCTATCGTGGTATATGATTAATTTGGAAGAAAATGACAAAACACTGGTTATTTAGAAAAGATTTGTAGTTTTCAGTTTTTTTGAATAAAAAGGTAATAAGTGAGAGTATGAATATTGAATAACGTTCCCCAATGAACATAATCGAAATATAAAAATAAATTGAAACTTTCCAACTAAGCGTGTAGTTTATACTTTCATATTTCGTTTATTTTCTCTAAGAAAAGTTATACAATTTTATGCATACTGTTGCCGGGTATTGAATTATTTCCGATGCACCAAATGATAAGGCATTTCAAATATTGCATGAATATTAAAATGCGAATGATTTCTCCACATTGCAAATTGGCTTTGAATCAATATATAATCAATTAAATTAGCATTCGATAACCACTTTCAAATTGCGATGTACCTATAATATAATAATAGCGGAATAAATTTTAATATTAATATAGTATTTATGTGAAATATGTTCCGAAATATATTGAAACTTTTGTATCGGTTAGATTTCAAGTGTAAAAGGATACTGTCTTCAGGTGGCTTGCTCTCGGCTGAGTCCATACCGGGAAGCGCCGCCGCTACCCGTCGGAATAACTGAAATTTATAAATTAATAGTATTACGTGCTAATTCGGATATATTGTGTAAGTCGTGTTGGAGGGGACGATAGGCGTGTGCATTTGGTAAAAATGCGAATGTTGCGATGGGTGGGATAAATAACAGAATAACAAAATAGGGAATGTGTATATACGAGGAAGTTTGAAAGTTGCGCCAGTTATAGATAAGTCTCGAGGTAACAAATGACTTGGTATGGACATGTTATATGGAGGAGCGAGGATAATGTCATAAAGAAAGTATATGATATGAACATGGATGGATAGGAAAGGGAGAGGACGACCAAAAAAAGATGGATGGATTGTATGAAAGTTAATATGTTCAGATATGATCGCCGATAGGGTTCAGTGGAAGAGGATGACATACTGCGCCGACCTCAAATAATGGGATAAAGGCAAGGCAATGATGTGCAATTCGTGTTGATATATAAATAGATAAAGTCCTATAATCTGTCCACTTGTTACCTAATACAAAGTTAAAGCTATAATCTGGTCAAACTGTCATACTTGTGGACAAGTGCTGATTAGATCGACTAGTCTACTGTATTTACTACAATTAATAGAGTAGAAAAGAATATACTTTATTTGTAACATACAGTTACTGCTTATAACATTAACTATCTATCAGTGAAAGACTCGTCTAAAACGGTGCAGCCGTTTCAGAGAATAGCAAGAACAAACAGGCAGGCAGACAGACAATTTTAAAATAGATGTACCATAAGTACCGTCCTTACGTACTATATAACACAAGCTCTGCTTAGCGTGTTTGAATAGTACAGGAGATTGTGAAAAATGTGTTACACTGTTTAGTAAGGCCTTAAATTGAATTCTAACCTGTTTAACATTATAACCGGCCTTGGCGCTGGTCTCTATGAACATCACGTTGAGCTCCTTCGCCTTCCTGTCGCCGTCATCGGTGGACACCTGCCGCTTGTCGGAGAGATCCGTCTTGTTGCCAACCAGCATTATGATTACATCCGACCCGCGCTCCGTGCGTACATCGTCGATCCATTTCGATGTTTGGTGGAATGAATTCGCGTCTGGAATAATTGATTAATTTATTATAAACATTATAATACTATGTTAGAAATATTCTCGCGGATGATGGAGATGGAATAAATTTAAAAAAATCCAAAATGTCATAGTGTAGTTGGGGAGTAACTACAAATAAAATTTGAGAAATACGTAGTCCATGTTGTTAGTAACAATTTAACAACATAACTTAACATATGTTTGTAAAACACACTAATTATCTTTTCTTCTTATTGCTTTTTTCTCTGCAGTAGCAAATTTCGAAATATTATTTATTATAATAAACAGCGTAGCTAGGGTAGCAACAGTCAGTAACCTAATATCTAAAATATAATGCTGTCACAAACGAATTGATTTACATAGTCGCAATCACGCAAAAATTTTTCTTTTTCCCTATTTGTTTGGAACCTCTGTGTCGTAATACTATTACTACCCCCACTTACATTCAAAAGGTCGTGGGTGCTAATCTGGATAACACAAAAGACCCTGGCTGATATAAAAAAAATATCTGTGTCAATTTATATTTCAGACCACCGAGTACTAACCAAAAATTTTTCGGAAAGGCAGTGCGGTATTCCACGTATATATACATTCGTGATACTCGACATGTCCACATTACAATGTGGATATGTCGAGTATCACATTCACCATGATGTCGACAATAGACAATGCCTCTGACTACCCCATGCGTGATAACAGCCATAACTTAATATAATTATTATTATTGTATGGTACACATGAGAATCGGCTTATTAAAAACGGTTGGTAACCTTTTGACTCCCACACATGTAGGTACACACCTCGAACAAACGAGGTCACGAACTTACATTCCCCAGATTAAATAAAACTTCTATAATTTTGAAGAGTCTAATCCGGCTTCAAAGTTTCATACTGCGGTTTTCATTGAAAAACACATCTGGCCCTCGGCCGAAACTCTTTTAACTTATGAATAATTTTGCTCTCGTGGCCAAAACCTACTTTTACACATTTTAGGGGCAAAATTTAATACATACGTCTAAAGCAAAAAGTAATAAATGTGTTTCGATAAAGATCCGGGTAACATCATGGAGTTTTATGTGAGAAGTAACCTGATTCAGAGTACCACTCCCCAGCGAGTTTAGCGCAATAAAGAATCTTTTACGATTTTTACGGCCAACTGGAAAAATGGGAGCGAATAGTTTTCTCTAATTGAAAAATATCTAGTGCATTTTAAATATATGGTCCTAGTCTACTACTGAATAAGGGGAGAGGGGATTGTTAGTATTATGGATCGATGACCACATTACTAGCAATGTACCATATCAGGTTGACCTCTATTGGGTTGCCTCTGAAAAGCATCATGATAAATTCCTGATGAATTTACCGCGATGGTTCAACTGACCTGACCTCGTTCGTCCTAACATTCTACGTTGGTTCCTCCTTGGTGTAAACCGTTAACGTAGACGGGTACATCATTCCATAAACATCCATTGAAAAAACCTCCACGTAGTTTACCCCGGAAATCGCCGTCCTTAATTCCTGGTTAATTTGACACGAGGCTAACTGACCTAACTTTATGCTCAATGGTGCCTCGCCAGCATATACCGTTAGCGCAGTTCACTGTTCCATTATTACTCAATAAAAATATATAACGAACTGACCTGTCGGTTAGACAGGTCAGTTCGTTATATATTCCACTGACTAATATATTTTGATATTTAGTAAATTGCATTTTTAAATATTATTAAAAATATTAATACAATATGATTTAGTTAGGGATTTTGTATTCACACAAAATGTTAAACAGGTAGTCGTACAACATTTGTTTGAGAGAATCACCAGCTAAGTTTCTTGCTCATTCCTCGCAATCTGCATTCCGAATGAGTGTTCATTCATTCGGAATGCAGATTCAGCGGTAGAATAAAATAATGACTATACAAAATTGGTTATGATAAGTTAATTCTAACAAAGGTAATATCCATTCCATTAAAGTCATCCTTTTATAAATCTACGTCAATAGATCAGTCAACTGACAAATATGAGTACTAAAGTCGACGCTAAGCAAACACTTTCGCGAAACGGTACGTTTTATAATGCCATTTCATATGCGACTGGCTGGATTAACAATCGCGCCTACTACATTATGATAATGAACAGTTACGTCAGTTTACGTCCATGCGTCATTTAGAGTGGTATAAAAAAAATGTTTTTAACATGTGACATCACGGAATTTCGCAAAGCAAGTCACTTACATAAAGTAACTTTTGAACCCCAGATATGTACTTTAATATATATATGATACTTATGGTATACTATAAACTAGCTACGCGCCCCGTTTTCGATGTACCCGTTCGAATCTTTGAATTTATCGGCTTTTCTGTATTAGAATATGCATATTTTATACATATGAACCTTCCTCTTTAATCACTATCCATTGCTGAAAATTGCATTCAACTCTATTGCATAATTTAAATGATTTATGTACAGACACAACGGCAGCAACTTTATTTTAGGTATACTATGTAAAGATACGAAAGTCTGTTTTACGACTAAACGCCTGAATGGATTCTAATGAAATTTGGCGTGAAAGTATCAGTTGGACCGATATAAGTTATTTTAACCCAATAAAAACTGTATAGAAGAGAGTGCAATAAGAAATGAAAGTTTGTACAAAGTCATGGGTAACAAGCAATAGGTTATCTTTATCTTTACATATCATAAAATGGTACAATCATGTCAAGATTAAAACTGCCTGTTTATCTATTTGTATCTTATGGTTTCACTTTTATGTGAAACCATAAGATACAAATAGATAAACAGGCGACTGTATTGGAATATTTTTTTCATAGAATGTGTTGTGAGATATGGAATCAACATATAGACTATAGAAAGTTGAGAACAACACTCCCATATAAAGGAGAGATGAAACAATGACATATTTTCAATACGCCACCTATAATTGTATTAATTAGATCTTTAATGAAATAATAGCCGGCCTAATCGATAAACAGGTCCGATTCCTCGCACTGTACAAACATTTGTATTCATGAATATGATTGTTTGTGTTGGACTGGGTGTTTTTTATGCATATTACGTATATATTTACAAAAAATTGTACCTACTTGTATCGGTCACCTAGTACCCATGCCACAAGTTTCCATGGAAGTAGACGGGCCTGGGTGTGAACAGATAATTCATCGTAATCATTACATAATATAAAACAAAGTCGCTGTCGTTGTCCGTCCGTCCCTATGTATGCGTAAATCTTTAAAACTACGCAACGGATTTTGAAATTTTTTTTTTAATAGATAGAGTGATTCAAGAGGAAGGTTTATATGTATAATACATATACACCCGGGCGAAGCCGGAACAAGTAACTATTATTATATACATAATATATTTGTTGTGGTTGTTTATTTTATAATCTACAGATGACGTCTCCAGATGTGTACGTATGAACAAAACGCGGGCTCCGCTAGTAAGTACATAATAAAAAAAAAACAATTATACACTAAACATCACGAAAGAAAACATTTCTAAAAATGTACGTGTGTGAGAGTTATACGCGAGGACGTATCGTTGTTTATTGTACACATTCACCAGTTTTACGATCAATTAGCGGAGTTTATCGCTTATCTATCTACCAACTGTAATAAAAGTATTACAGGTAATAATTTCAGTAGAGCTTTTATATCTTGACACTCTGGGGTATTACTCAAAGTAATTGTTAGAATACATGACAGGCCGCGGTTTCGTACAACTATCTGTCATGTCAAAAAGAAGATAAATAATAATAATAATACACCTTATGATTATGTGGATAATAACCCCAATATATACCAAAATAAGAACCCCCAATAATAGATTTCTCATTTTAGCAAGAGTTTGTCGCGAACAAATACATTTTTACTATAAATGTACCGATCCAGTTATAAAGAAAGTGAAATGTGACGCAATAAATTTCCGATGTAATATATGTTCGTACGTTAGTATGTAAGGGTAACTAAACTATGAAATATATGGGCATGTATTGTCAGCTCCACATTGCGGCGGTGATAAAGAAATTACTGTTTAAATGTTTGATGGAAACATTGTGTAATGGGGCAAAGTTACGCTAAGAAAGAGGTACATTAAACTTAGTGGCGTCATAAAAAAATATATTGATTACATTGACGGCCTCGGTGGTCTGGCGGTTTAGCATACCGCTTTACTTCCGATGGTCGTGGTTACGATTCCTTGCGCGATGCACAAGCATTTGTATTCATGCGTACGATCGGTCTGGGTGTTATTATTTTTATTATCTTCAAAAATGTATTTCAAGTGCCTATAACACAAGCTCTGTTTAGATTGGGACTAGATGACGTTCTGTGAATTTTCCAGGGTTATTATTATTATTATTAAATTTGACCGAGATAGACTTTGAAGAAAGTCATCTGAATGAGTGCCTCAGGCTCACCTATTTCAGTCGTTAAACAGCTTGCTTTGTAATGCGTGGCGACTAAAATATACCGACTAAGATTTTGATTTCATAAAATTTTATAATTTCTAAAGTTAGCTACTTTAAATGTTTTTTAATTCGTTTCTAATTTCTGGGTAGGCAGGTTTAGAATTGGATTGCGAGGGCGGCATGTGCCGCAAATATTTGCCTCTGTGGCGTCGGGACGTCCAAGGCCGGCCCTAACACAAACACACATATTACCTGAACCACAGATAACATATTAACACTACGCCAGTCTGTACTGACAATTGTCTGATTTACAAGCTAACATAAAATTGTTCTAATTACTTTTTATTTAATTGCAATTTGTTACTGTAATTGACTAAAGAAAGAACAAAATTTTTCGAAGTTAATAGATCTTTTAAGAGATTGTTGCAAAAATATCTTCAAAAGTAACAACAGTAATACCTATAGACCCAACTCGGGAGAACTAGCCATTTATCGACTAAAAAAAGAACAATAAAAATTGTTTAAAATTAGGGTACAAAGTAAAATACCCTAATTAAAAATTGTCTTTTTAAAAAGTATTAA